GCCAACGGCGACGCCGTCGCCCAGTCGTCCACCCACGCCGCGCCAGGATCTCCGCCGCCACGTCGGACCGCCGCCGCCGAAGAGCACCCCCCGGCGCACACCGCCCCGCGCCGGGGAGCACCAAGAGGGGAAGGGCAGGAGGCCGCCGCCGCCAGCAACCCAGGGGCCAGGCCTGGCCGCGGGTGCCGGCGACGGCGGCGGGGAGGGAGGGAAGGGGGGGCTCTAGAGGAGGGGGGGCGCCGGAGCGCGGCCGGTCGCCCGCGGGGACGACGCGGTCGCGCGAGAGGAAAAGGGGTGTGTATGCATAGAAGAAGTAAGAATCCTAACATGTTAAATTTGGAGCTACGGTTTAAAAGATATGAATATTAAAAAAAACATTTGATATATACCACGGGTTTAATGTTAGAAACATCCGGGGGTTTTTTACAAAATAGTATGACGGACTAAGAATACTTATTTCTTTTATTAGTAGGTATAGAAAACACTTTAGGCGAACAACTATTTTAACATGCAAAGATATAGTATGTGCCCCTGCAAAAAAAACAAACTCCGCCACCCCTGCCCCGGTGTAAAAGAAAAAGATATACTATCTAAAGCAAGTTGGAGGGTGAAGCTCAAACTAGACTGAACCGGTCGGGTTGGTTCTTCGATTTTTCAAGAAACTCAATCTTTCCAAGTTGCTTAACGGCTTATGACACATCAAGGACCAAATTTCGTAGAACCAACATTTTAGTTTAGTTCTTGGCTTAAATTAACATAACTAACGTTGACTCACATCACAATCGGCGACAAAATATTCAAATTTGTTTGCCAACAATTCCTTTTCTTCCATCTTTTCTTCACAAGCAATAGAAGCAAAAGAATAGTAGTACCATCATATGAACTTTTCTCAAGAAATAATTAAAATGAGCTTTTGAGCTCATGTTGAGTTTAACACAGAATCGGAGGCATATCAATGCATATTGTAGGAATGTATTGGTCACTTCCATAATCTAAAGGGATTTCAGGAAGAAAAAAAATCCTTAGGATTCAAATCCTCCAATATTCTTATGAAAGTCCTACAGCCAAAGTGATCCTACGATCTTTTGGTTTCTTTGCTTAATACGCGCCCTAAGGGCAAGAACTGGATTTCGAAACTAATTTATGTTTTCAAAAAATAATGACCAGTAGGCAACACGATTTATTTTTGTTTAATCTCTGTTTTTCAGTTCATGTCCCTGACTCTAACCTACCTACTATATTCTAGTTTTATGATGCGGTTTATCCTTACTGTGGTGGAATGTGATGTTGATGTTTGTTTTGTCTCTACCTCATACCAATGATCGCAATTTTACTTTTCTTGCAACTGTATAAGACTCACTGTCTTTCTCAAAATCGGGTAATGAAAATTGGAAGTGCATTTAATCCTCTTGGTGGATTTTGGTCATTAATATCAACTTATCTTAAAGAACTAAATGATTAACTAGCTTATCTCAAGAAAAGTTCTAGACAGTTGCAACAAAGGGATTGAAAGGTGACCCCCACAAAATTGCATGAAGACAAGTGTTGGCCCAGCCAAGGAATTAGATTTTACATTTTAGTGAGTTAAGATCACATTGCTCGTGCTAGCATGTTGAAGTGCTACGGGCTCTCGGGGTAGAATATATGGATACCCCTAATATTTCCATGATTTACCCAGGTTTTTTTTCTGCGAAACGGTATAGCCAGGACTTGCAATATGGCCAAGACCAACTTCAAAATGCATTTAGGGGTAGAGCAGAGAACAAACGAAGGAACACTGTGTCGCCATAAAGATCGCATTGTTGCTGTCTTGATCGAATCAGAAGGCTTTGCTACACCAGCCGTAAAGTGCTACGCCGGAGAGAAAATGCTCTAAATGCATTGTATAATGATGTGGCTCCTCGACGACTCACGGATAGTGTCTGCGAAGTTCACGGCCATACCACATCATAAATATTCTTTGTATATCTAGTCCCGCTACGAGACATGAATGGTGGATTACGTAGAGACTTGGAGACTACATTAGGTTGCTAGGTCCACATAGCAACAATTGCTTCTCTTCTGATGTCTCCCATTCCCTCATGTTTTCAATGAATCTTCAATTTTCACCTATCCGATGTGCTAGCATGTCAGAATAGACGATGTTGTAACAAGCATAGGTGAATACCAATGTGATTTTTAGGGAATGGAAGCGGCCAGATTCTTAGAATTGGTGCTAATTATTTTCCTTGATAGAAGAGAGTGCTTCTTGCGGTAGGCATGAGGAACGTTGTG